GGCCAGGAGCAACCAGTTTCTCCGGGAGAATGCTGTGGGAAATGGTGTCAAAGGCCTTACTAAAGGCCAGGTAGACAGCATCCACAGCCTCTCCCTCATCCACTAAGCGGGCCACCTTGTCATAGAAGGTTGGTCAAGCAGGACCTGCCTTTCATACACCCATGCTGACTGGGCCCGATCCCCTGGTTGTCCCGTACGTGATGCGTGATGGCACTCAGGATGATCTGCTCCATGACCTTCCCCGGCACCAAGGCCAGGCTGACAGGGCTGTAGTTCCCTGTAGACCCTGTGTCACCCTGTGTCACACCGCGGGGCTGGGACACCGCAGCCGGGCATGTGCTGCTGTGGTGGCACCTTCCTTAGCCCTCGGGCGGGCCGGAGCTGAGAGACGAGGCCGCCCGACTCAGCAGGCTGCGGGGGGACGATGGTGGCTGCGGGGGCCTGGCGCAGCCCTGGGGGGACAGAGCTGGGTCCGGGGGGGATGGAGCTGGGGTGCAGGGGCTGCACCACCCCAAACCGCGCTGTCGGCCTGTGCCGCGCTGTACACGGGACATACGGCTGTTCCCCGCAGCCAGCTGGGGCTGTGGGAACGGCTTTATCAGCCCCGGTCCAGAGAGCAAGGCCTGAGCCGGGGCGGTGGCCGGGTGGCCTTGGCACAGGCCCCAGCACCCTGCGGGGAGGGCGAGGGCCTCTCCCCACCCGGCCGCCCGGGCCCTCGGCTCGGCTCAGCGTCCCCAGCCCGGCCTTGCCCCCTCCCCACTTGTCTCTAAGCACTATGCCTGCACCCGGGGCTCGGCTTTTGGGGGGCCACCTTCTGCCCCGCGGGGGGCCGGTGGCCAAACCTGCCCCACAGGACTGCCTGGGGAGGGGACGGGGCGCGAGGCAGTCTCTGCTCACGGGGCTGGAGGTGGGGAGCGGGCACTGGGCGGGCGATGCTGCGGGGTGCCCATGGGATGGCAGGGCGTGCTGCTCCGGCTGCCGGCTCTGCCTGGGAGGGGGATGCATTTGCAGATTGTTTTGGGGGCAGCTGGACCCCCCGAGGGCTGTGCTCACGGGGTGCCTGCAGAGCAGCACGCTTTCACCCACCGGGTGCTCGCTGGGGCGCTGCACAGCCCCAGCCGAGGGCAGAGCAGGCAGGAGACGCTGGGCAGGCAGCTCTGCCCACCCCAGCCACGCCTGGGGGGGGTTTAGCCCCCTCCCTGGGCGGGGTCCTGCACCACGCTGCTCCAGAGGATGCAGAGGGCCGTGGCCAGGGAACCCCCCAGGGTGGGCAGGTCTGCAGCTGAGGGGTGAGGCTTAGCGCCCCTTTCCACCCCGTGGGGCTTCCACTGCCGGGGGACACGTGGGCTGGTGCCGGCGTCACTCTGCCAGCACTTGGCACACCTGAGGGGTTCCCCGTGCAGAAGCCCCCCGGCCTGCGGCCCGGCGAGATGGCGGGCATGGTGGCGAGACGGCTTCCCGCATCCCACCAAGAGCCAGGGTGTGCAGCCCGCCTGTGGCCGTGCCGTGGCGGTGGCGGTGATGCCCATCCACCCCTTTGCAGCCCCCCAGGTGCCCCGGGCTCGGTGGCGTGGGCTCCCACCCAGCCAGCCCTGGGCTGGTATTTGCTCCAACGCCTCCTTGCAAACCTGCTGCGGCCGGTCCCGGCCCCGCCTGCCTGCCCTTCCTCGCCAGCGGGAAGAGGAGGAGGAGGCAGCTGCGGGCTGGGGACGGCTGTGGAAGGAGCGTGAGTGGGAGCAGGACACGAGTGGAGCCGCAGCGCAGGCTGGACAGGACGGAACAGGAGGGCTTGGCTGTGCCCGCCACCAGGTACCATGTGGGGTGGGCAGGAGCTGCCCCGGCGAGGGGGCTCTGTTGCCCGCACACGGATCCAGCAGCAGAGCCGTCTTCCCGTCCCCTCCGGTGCCAGCCCGGCCATGCACCCTCGCTCCGAGCACCGGGAGGGACCCAGGGGCTGTCACCCCTGGGCCCTCGCCTGCGAGCGGGGAGCGAAGGTGGCTTGGCCGCTCCAGGTGGACCAGGCGTCCGCCTCGGCACGTGCCGTCCCTCCTGCCAGGGCAGGGTGCAGGCTGGCGGGACGGGGTCCGGGTGGCTCCTGGTGCTGGGTTTGGGGTCCATGTGCTGGGGAGGTCGTGAGGACAGGGGTGCGGCTTTTCCCGGAGCTGGCTGCTGTGATGGTAATTGCGCCGCTCCCTCTGAGGCCATGGGGCGGCAGGCAGGGACTAACCACTGCCCCGCTGCCGGCTGCTGCCCGCCGACTGCCGGGGTCCCCCCACGGCTGGGCAGGGCTGTGCTGCTGGGGAAACTGAGTCACGGGGGCAGGCAGGGGTCTGGCAGAGCTGTGGTGCCTCCGACCCGCTGCCTCTCCCTGCGGAGATGCTGTGACGGGGGGCTGCGCACCCCGTGTCAGCCCCGGGAGCCGATGGCAGGCACCGGGGGTTGCTGAGCCGCCAGACGAGGGGAGCCCCATGCACCGGCAGCTGCAGGGGTCGCAGCCGGCGGCGTGCCACCACGGGGCAGGAGAAGGGCTTGCGCAACCGGATGAGCTTCGCTCTCCTGGGCCTGGCAAGGACTGAGCCCTGTCCCCATGTCCCCCTCGGGGAGGCGACTGGCCGGTGGCACCGCTGTGGGAGCTGCTGTGCTGCAGGGACGGGCAGCGTGGGGACCGTCCCCCCTAAGCTGACCCTCTCCCCCAGCTGCACGTCGCACTCGTCCTTCATGTCGGGGAAGCTGAGGAGGAGCAGAAGGGGGCTGCTGGAGGAGAAGCGGTGGCAGAGCCTGGAGGAGAGGGGCAGCGCGGACACCCGGCTGGGGCACCCCGCGCTCACCAGGTGGGTGCTGCACCTCGCCGGGGACATGTCCCCACGCCCCAGCCCCCACCAGTCCAGCACGGCCGTGCCCCCCGGGTGCTCTTGCCCGGGTGAGATGGCGCGATGGCCACGCATGGGCACAGCGGGGTCTGCAGGCAGCCCCACGGCTCACCCCTGCCTGCTCCTTCCTGCCAGATCCAAAACCTGTGACCCCTCCTTCTGCAAGGAGACAGAGCAGGCTGCGGCGGCCGCGGGCCAGCAGGAACACCCATCCCCGTCGGTGAGTCTCGGGGCACCGGCGT